ACATTACCTTGGTAAACTCGTGACTGATTGTTGCAGAGTATTAAAATTGCACCGAAATTGAAAAATCCTCGATGCGGGATATCATCTCCTTCATCCGTATCGCAATTTCTTAAGAACTCTGAAATGCAATGATGAAAGGGTACCAAATCTCTAAAAAAAAAAGACATTTTTTTTTTACGCAAGATAAAATCTGTAAAAGATTTATTGTATAGAGCACAAATTAAAAAACGGACCATCCGGAATAACTTTTGATCTAATGATCTTCACTAGGACTCAATCTTTATGGTTTGAGGGGGACGACTTCAAATACGCTATATAATTAGAGCAGATTATATTTTAAGTTGCGAAATCAGTCACTGAATACCCTTTTTGAACAAAGGTGCATTTTTTTGAAGGATTCAGAGTTATGACAACCTTAATAGATTCTCAATTTTAACCTTCAAAACATAGAGGGCAGTCGCAATCTGGGAATTATGATCCCAATAGTTTGGTCAGGAGAGCGGTCAAAAATTTGGAGCCCTTTATGTTAATTTTAGTTTTTGCGTATTCAGTCATATCTCGATAGGCTTTCAAGCAAATTGAAAAATTTTCGCACTAAATTATATAGTTCGTTTATCCAAAACTAACTCAATGAAATATATAAAAAGCATTCCCTCAACTATCCGCTGTGGTCCAGAGGGATCATGGTTTTTTAGGCTCCCCATTTTCTTGACCAACAGCATGATTGTGGCAATGTGGTCAGCACACTGCACAGCCCGCCTTTACTTCCCAGAAAGAGTGGTATCCACTGATCTGAAACTGGATGAACTTCAAGCTCAAACTAGGAACAGCTTTTAACTTTACCCAGTGCCTTAACCACGCAGCTATCGCGACTCGCCATGCAAAATATGACTTTTAGTAAATATTCATTATTTTAAATTATTATATTAAAGAATGGTCAAAAAATTTTTGAATTGTTAGGTATGCAAGTTTTTGCCTCATGTTGCAGAATGCAATTTTGAATAGTAAAATATAAAATTTGTAAAAAATCGATCGAATAGTTAAAAAAAAAATCGAATTTAGAAAAAGTCGTAATTTTAAAATTTTATTTTTCCTGAGCAATTCGGTCAATTTTACACAAATCTTGTAATTGCAATATTTGAAATGATGCAAAAATTTTGATACCTTACAAATAAATATTTTTTTGACTATCATTACATAAAATAAAACAATTAGGATCATGATTGAGTCTCAGAGCGTGAACATCCAATCAGTAGATCAAAAGTTATTCTCGATAATCCATTTTTTCACGAACCTTACAACAATTTATTCTATTTTTCCTGATTTTAAATAATTGAAAGTAGATTCAATTCCGTTCAATACTATATTCGCATTTATCGATATATCTCTAGTTAAAGAGTTACTTCCCAGACTAGTTACTTCCCAGACAGAGTGGTATTCATTGATATGAAGTTGGATGAACTTCAACCTTGAACTGGGAATCAAACTGCTGCTTTTAACAATGACAGCCCATTGCCTTAAGCACTGGGCCATTGCGACTCGCCATGCAAAATATAACTTTTAGTAAATATTTATTTTTTTAAATTATTATATTAATTAATGGTCAAAAAATTTTGAATTGCAAGGTATACAAAATTTAGCATCATATTACAAAATGCAATTTTAAATAGTAAAATGTAAATTTTTTGAAAATCGGTTGAAAAGTTAAAAAAAAGCGAATTTTGAAAAAGTCGTATTCTTAAAATTTTATTTTTCCTGAGAGATTCAGCCAATTTTGCAAATTTTGTAATTGGATTCTTTAAAATGATGCAAGTGTTTTATACCCTACAATTCAATTTTTTTAGACTATTAATAAATAAAAAAAAATTATGATTATGATTGAGTCTCAGAACGTGAGCATCTGATCAGTAGATCAAAAGTTAGTCACGATATTCATTTTTTTAACACACCGTTCAACAATTTATTCATTCCCCCTACACTGATTTTAAGTAATTGAAAGTATATTCAATTCTATATATATATATATCACACGAATACTTGAAAATTCATAAGATAATGCATATAGTACCTTGGCGGTACATTACCTTGGTAAACTCGTGACTGATTGTTGCAGAGTATTAAAATTGCACCGAAATTGAAAAATCCTCGATGCGGGATATCATCTCCTTCATCCGTATCGCAATTTCTTAAGAACTCTGAAATGCAATGATGAAAGGGTACCAAATCTCTAAAAAAAAAAGACATTTTTTTTTTACGCAAGATAAAATCTGTAAAAGATTTATTGTATAGAGCACAAATTAAAAAACGGACCATCCGGAATAACTTTTGATCTAATGATCTTCACTAGGACTCAATCTTTATGGTTTGAGGGGGACGACTTCAAATACGCTATATAATTAGAGCAGATTATATTTTAAGTTGCGAAATCAGTCACTGAATACCCTTTTTGAACAAAGGTGCATTTTTTTGAAGGATTCAGAGTTATGACAACCTTAATAGATTCTCAATTTTAACCTTCAAAACATAGAGGGCAGTCGCAATCTGGGAATTATGATCCCAATAGTTTGGTCAGGAGAGCGGTCAAAAATTTGGAGCCCTTTATGTTAATTTTAGTTTTTGCGTATTCAGTCATATCTCGATAGGCTTTCAAGCAAATTGAAAAATTTTCGCACTAAATTATATAGTTCGTTTATCCAAAACTAACTCAATGAAATATATAAAAAGCATTCCCTCAACTATCCGCTGTGGTCCAGAGGGATCATGGTTTTTTAGGCTCCCCATTTTCTTGACCAACAGCATGATTGTGGCAATGTGGTCAGCACACTGCACAGCCCGCCTTTACTTCCCAGAAAGAGTGGTATCCACTGATCTGAAACTGGATGAACTTCAAGCTCAAACTAGGAACAGCTTTTAACTTTACCCAGTGCCTTAACCACGCAGCTATCGCGACTCGCCATGCAAAATATGACTTTTAGTAAATATTCATTATTTTAAATTATTATATTAAAGAATGGTCAAAAAATTTTTGAATTGTTAGGTATGCAAGTTTTTGCCTCATGTTGCAGAATGCAATTTTGAATAGTAAAATATAAAATTTGTAAAAAATCGATCGAATAGTTAAAAAAAAAATCGAATTTAGAAAAAGTCGTAATTTTAAAATTTTATTTTTCCTGAGCAATTCGGTCAATTTTACACAAATCTTGTAATTGCAATATTTGAAATGATGCAAAAATTTTGATACCTTACAAATAAATATTTTTTTGACTATCATTACATAAAATAAAACAATTAGGATCATGATTGAGTCTCAGAGCGTGAACATCCAATCAGTAGATCAAAAGTTATTCTCGATAATCCATTTTTTCACGAACCTTACAACAATTTATTCTATTTTTCCTGATTTTAAATAATTGAAAGTAGATTCAATTCCGTTCAATACTATATTCGCATTTATCGATATATCTCTAGTTAAAGAGTTACTTCCCAGACTAGTTACTTCCCAGACAGAGTGGTATTCATTGATATGAAGTTGGATGAACTTCAACCTTGAACTGGGAATCAAACTGCTGCTTTTAACAATGACAGCCCATTGCCTTAAGCACTGGGCCATTGCGACTCGCCATGCAAAATATAACTTTTAGTAAATATTTATTTTTTTAAATTATTATATTAATTAATGGTCAAAAAATTTTGAATTGCAAGGTATACAAAATTTAGCATCATATTACAAAATGCAATTTTAAATAGTAAAATGTAAATTTTTTGAAAATCGGTTGAAAAGTTAAAAAAAAGCGAATTTTGAAAAAGTCGTATTCTTAAAATTTTATTTTTCCTGAGAGATTCAGCCAATTTTGCAAATTTTGTAATTGGATTCTTTAAAATGATGCAAGTGTTTTATACCCTACAATTCAATTTTTTTAGACTATTAATAAATAAAAAAAAATTATGATTATGATTGAGTCTCAGAACGTGAGCATCTGATCAGTAGATCAAAAGTTAGTCACGATATTCATTTTTTTAACACACCGTTCAACAATTTATTCATTCCCCCTACACTGATTTTAAGTAATTGAAAGTATATTCAATTCTGTTCAATACTATATTCGCATTTATTGATATCTCTCTAGTTAAAGAGATTTCTAAAAATAATAACAAAATAACAACAAAAAAAAGAAAAAAGCTCACAGGAATAATTTTTAATTAAAAAATTTAATAAAATGTAAAGTAGTTAGAGGAGCTCGCTCATTTTACCTTGGTTTCGAAGTTTGCAGAAAGACCATAATATTTATTTAAAGAATTGACAGGATTAAACCAATTATCAATACTTATATATAATTTGTAAAAACCTCTATTAATTTTATTATGAAAAATGTATGTTTCAAGGAGCCAGTTTTCTGACTTTTGTTTACGAGAATTTGAAAATAATACCAAAAAAAAAATGAAATTTAGGCTATCAGTGAAATCCTAGCACTATTAAATTTTGTAAAGCCACTGGAAATCCTTGCATAATTAATTAATGCCAGACATTATTAATTAAATATATTTTTTACAATATTTTAAGTTTTGCAGGGGGTCAGCCATTAGGTTTGTGTCTCTTTCCAAGTTCAGAACTATTTGAGTATTTTTCTTTGCTTTCAGATTGCTTTAGTTACTTATTATGAGTTATTCTTGTTTAATACCAAGTTCTTAAACTTCAATTTTCGTTCTTTAATAGAGGCTACACACATTGTTGGATACTGGTCCCCAACCCAGAATAGTAATCTAGTTAAGACGCACCCCAGAGAGTAAGCAACCTTGCATAAAACGTTGTATTTTCATATTCATCATTTATGCATAGAAAGGTTGACTAATTAATATTTTTTTAAACTTAGCAGTAATACTAATACGCGAAAAATCTTTCATTGAAAATTGAATAAAGTATTGCAGAAACCTTCACAAAAAAATCTCTTTTTTTTTCGCTTTTACTGTAAATCTTTCCCTCCTTTTTTTTCATGCTAGTGTGGGGAGAGTAGATACCTACAATGTAAACTTCATCTCGATCGAGTTAACATGTCTTATTATATACAAGTGATTTGAATTGTATTTTTGCAGTGGTAAACATTCTACAGCATTCCCATATCAGAATTATAGCTGTGGTAGAATTCAATGAATGGATAGCATTAGTTGATTTATTGCTGTTTTGTTAGAAGCTGGGAGAGCTGTAATAAGATTACCGTAGTTTTGCTGATGGTGAGAGCTGTATTAAGTTCACGGTCGTGGTTGCTCCTGTGTTGCCATTAGCAGTCGAGTGTAAGCAGGCCGACATTGTTTGTGATCGAGACTGAGTAGCAACAATGCGAGGAGGTGGATAATGTCACAGTCACAAGTAGAAAGTCAACTGTTCAATGTGGACAATCCATCGAAGTAAGCGTGTTCAAATATAGTAACGCCCGGTTCGGAAGATGGGCGTGGTCATATCGAAGTGGGAGTTTCTGTCAAGGTAGGCATGTTCACATCACGTCCGAAAGTCACCAATGTGGGGAGAGTAGATATCGATAATGTCAACCATCATCTATGAAAAGGTACCCCAAGATAGAATCGAGTTAACATGTCTTATATACTAGTGAATTGGAATTGTATTTTTGTAGCGGTAAACAAACTACATTAGCTTGAGCAGACACTCAAATCTAACATTTTTTTTCCGCGTTGCTTAATGATGAGGCCAACATGCTCTTTTAAAGTTTTAAATAAAGTATATAAGAGTCTGCGCAAATAAACCATATTTTATTGATGCTTCATAAGGTATAAAATAAACTTTGAGGAGGTGAATTTATACTCGTTTTGAGTCCATTTTCTACTCTTGATTTGCGAATGAATATTCATCCTCTAATTTAGAAGTTTTTTTAGCCATGTTTTGTAAAAGCAGATGTGATCTCAATTTAAAAGGGTTGTTCATGCAAGCTTATTTCAAATTTCATATTATACAAACTGGCATAGTTAAATTTAAAATTGCTTCAAGCGTACATGGTTTATTTGCTTATCATTTGAAAAGCTTTTTGGGTTTTGTGATAAAAGTTGTTACTGACATTAAAATAAAAGCAGATGTAATCTCAATTTGAAATGGTTGTTCATGCAAGCTTATTTCAAATTTCATATTATACAAACTGGCATAGTTAAATTTAAAATTGCTTCAAGCATGCATGGTTTATTTGCTTATCATTTGTAAAGCTTTTTGGGTTTTGTGATAAAAGTTGTTACTGACATTAAAATAAAAGCAGATGTAATCTCAATTTGAAATGGTTGTTCATGCAAGCTTATTTTAAATTTTATATTATACAAACTGGCATCGTTAAATTTAAAACTGCTTCAAGCGTGCATGGTTTATTTGCTTATCATTTGTAAAGCTTTTTGGGTTTTGTGATAAAAGTTGTTACTGACATTAACTCAACATGAAAAATTACAGTTGGATATGATACACGTAAGAATCAGTAATGTTATTTTTAGCATGCATACAAAGTACAAAAAAAAGTAGAAATTTAAAAAAGAAAAAAAAAATGCATTATCGTTGATTAAAAATCAGTTTTCAATTACTTACTTACACAAGGCGTCCACATCTTCAGCTGATTCTGGAAATGTACCATTTTTTTTAAACCTGCATGCTTCGAAAGGGTCTTTTTCACAAAGATTACTCTCAATTTCTTCTAAGGAACCACTGGTAATACCTATAAGCAGATAATCAATATTTTATTTATAACTGTAGCCTTGTAATTTTGAACCCAATCCAGAAGACGACAAATCTCTTGGATCAAGTATCGGGAGAAATTTGCCTTCATGGATGAATTTTTGGTGGAACTAACCGTTACATGGAGAAGAAAATAACTAAAACCTCCCCCGATTAACCTGACTGTGAAGCGACTCTAACCCATGATCCGTCTACTACTGAGGATATTTTACGTCAGCACTGTGTTCGGTGCAAGCCAGATACGAAAATTCGTATCGACCAGCCATCAATGCCCAGATAGAAAAGTAAGGTTGATTTTCACTCAGCAGAGACCTTTTAATGGAAACCTAAAAGTTATGCGGTTTACGTGTAAACCTTCTAATCTTAAAACGAGTTATGTGACAATGTGTTCTATTCTACGCACAATACCCTAATCCAAAACCTTGAAAATTAACCTTCTATATAAAAACCTTACATCGAGGTTGTCGTAGGGTTTTCAAGCCTGAAAAAATCCTTGAATAAAGCTAGTCTCAAGTTTAAAATAATCTTAAATCTAGGTAATTATAAGGTTTCTTTTCGCACTATTTTGTATGCTCAGCTAAAATACACCTTGTCATGAAATTTTAATGGCTAATGCAATTTGATCCTATCGCTAACGTGAAGTCAGCTAAAACGTCATTATGGACCTAAGAGACAATGCTTTAAAAAAAAAAGCTCTAAATATAATTTTCAACTATTTTAGGAAGAAAGGTTTAAAACTGCAATATTTTTGCGCTTTTGAAAAATATTTTCTAGTGCAAACGTTTTAGTGACAATAAAAGGAAAATTCTCACACAAGGCTGCCGTATGGTTACATGCTTTCTAGGATGGAATCGAACCCGGTTCACCTTTTTGAAAAAGGAACGTTCTATCCCCTGAACCACGACTGCTCAAGGTAAGAATCATCATTTGTCTATTTCGAGCTTTGTAACCGTTTTTCACTAGCGTTGCATTTTCTAAATTATAAGTAGTCATGTAATAAGTACCTTCATCAAACCAATTGGTTTACTTTCTAATCTAATTATAACGGCCAGTTCAACCTTAAAAAAATACTGATGCATAATTTCAGATAAAACTATGAATGCTTAAACTATTAATTTATTTCGAAAAATACGAACGTTTTTGCTACACTGAAATACATTTTAAAATGTAATATACTTGAATTTTCCATTGCTATATTTTTGAAAAATGCATAAGTAAACAAAGGGAGTTTTAGTGGTTGAATTTTAATTTTTGACTCCAAGCATGTACATTATTTATGAATGCATTCTGAAAGTATATTGTATGAGTAATCTGCCAAGGACACTCCATAATTCGACAATATTTACATTCTAGAAGTTTCTTTTAGTGGTATGAGTCGCATATGGAAAAATCAAGACTTGACAGGTTTGAGGAGATTCTTTCTCAAAATAATAATTTTCTTACTCACAAACAATAGTCATAATAAAGAAAATAAGAAACTTTTTTTCGATTTTATTCTGGTTAAGACTAAAACTTATAGCAACAAACATTTTACTTAGGTAATTTCCATCTTCCATGGGGATATAATGATTGCGTTTATTGTTTTAGACTGCGTAAATGGTAAACTCAGATTCAAGCAAGCTATCTGATGTCTTTTAGACTTGTTTAAGCAAGGAAAACGACAGTAAGAAATCTATCACTTGCTCTAAACTTAATCGCTAATCAAAAATAATGTTAGTATTAATAATAAATAAATAAATAAAAACGGACCACCTTGAGAAACTTTTGATCGAATGATCGGGTTCTTACTCTTAGTGTTCAATCTTAATGGTTTGAAATGCTGGTCACAAATATGCTAATTAAGTAGTACAGACCATATTTTATGTCAAGAAATTTGACACAAAAACGTTCTTTTTCTCTGAATAAACATACCGTTTTTTTAACTTATTGGGATTTCTGATGCACTTACTAGACGGGACAGTCGCACTATGAAAAGTTTGGTAGGAAAGTGTGGAAGGAGAGCGGTCCAAAGTTTGGTCCTTTTGATCCATTTTACTATCGGCGCATTTTGCCATGTCTCGGGAAATTTTTGAACGAATTGAAAATTTTTTGTACATAATTATAAAATTCGTTTATCTAATACAAATCCCACGCAAAATATATATTATAGTATTATAAGTTAATTATCTTAATAACCATAATATAAATAACTGCAATCAGTTTCTCTCTACAAGCTACAATTTTTTAAACGACATTTTTAGTCCATTTTGCGACAAAATACACAAATTTGAAAACTTAACATATAACAGGAAGTTACGTAAGCGCAGCAACAAACTTCGAGGTGAGTTGGAAAGAATCATTCATATTAAAATTGCACATGAAGTCATGCTCGGAAATATCCTCATACGCTGCTGGGGGTTAATAGTTTAAAATTAGTTTTTTCGGGTACAAACTTCGGAAAAAGTTTCTATCACGCAAAAAGAAAAAAAAGCTACAGTTATTTTTTTTAAAAAATATAAAGTTTTATTACCTTGAAAAAAGGCTGCAGAAAGCAGTATTAAAAATAACATTTTAAGACTGAAGTCGATTGAGTGTTATGTGAAGAAATAAATCACTTCGAAAGGATTGTATAAAATGCCTTAATTGTAATTTTCAGGAAACACTTTAAAGGAAATCTTAGAAGTGATAAATAACAATATCCGTTAATTAATTTAGTTGATTTTAATTTACACTTTTGTTTTTCTTTATCAACCGGGAGAGATATTGAATTAAATGACTTTTAAAAAACAAAACAAAAAAGATTTTTTCTACCATTTAGGCAACGCGCAAAATTTAGAGACCTGAAATACCAAAAATAGTTCGCAAGTCTTAAATTATATGATATTTAAAGAAAGGAATTTTTATACTTAGTTTTTTAAGAATTTCGGCGGAACTCGAAAAGTTAATTAATATATTTTTAAACTATATAATATATTTTTGACACAATGAAAAACTACTTTTAATTCATATGCTTTTAAGGCATCGAATCGCTCCTTAGTACATTTTCCAGTTAAGTGCTTCACAAGTTTTCGAAATTACTACTAGATAAGAGCAAAACACGAAGAACCGTTTTGTTGCCTAAGTGGAAATCGCATGCTTTTTCTCCAAAAATTCTCTTTTGAAAAAGTCAAAATTATGGTATTTTATTATATTGCCCTATACCCTATATTTCTACAAAAGAGTGTCCTATGCAGCTTTAATATTTAAAAAAATAAGTACTTAATACTTGTTTAAATAAAAACTCCCTTTCTTATAAAAAAAAAACTTGAATATGGTAAAATTTGGGAGTGAAACAAATAAGAGTAAAGTAGTAAACGAAAAAAGAATAATAATTAAAGATGAAAAATAAAAACTATGAAAACCGTTGTGGTTGTGAGATGCAAATCAGGGCAGAATATATTTCTACGCCCTATGAAAAGGTGGCTAGGAACTTATGTCGTTAATAAGGAAAAATGCATTCATATGACTGAAACAAGATTCCAGTATATAAATAATTAATAATTTATTAATGTCTTAATAGCCATTTTTTTAAGTTCCCTAGAGAAGAATACAAAGAATCAAGATGCCCTGTATTCTAGGTAAAAGTAAATTTATCGTTACTTAATGTAAAAATTAAAAATCACTGAAATAAGTTTAATTTAATTAAATTCCTTAAAAAATATTTTATTGCATTTTTGAATTTATCTTGTTTTATGCAACATATTTCTCATTAAATATAGCATCATTTGCCATTATTTAAATCTTGAATCACCAGAGGTTTTGTTAGAAAATAATACTATTTCATTCAATTATTTCGAAAAATATTATATTATTTCATTCATAAATCTTACATTAAAAGCAGAAGTGAAAGTTAACACCCACCATTCTACATTTATGAATAGTTTAACCTTTTATATTCACAACGTTTCACCAAATTAATGAATAAATTTGCTCTAACAAAAGTTAATTATTCTAAGGAGCCCATGAAAATGTTGCTTAAGTCATTAATAAATTATTAATTACTTATATTAATGTAGTCATAATGCCTATAAAAGACCATATGTTTAACGAATTTCGGTGATCGTTAGAGTGTTAAATGAGGTTTCAGTAATTAGCTACTTTAAAAGGATAGATGGAAAGCGCATAAAAGAGAGGGATTATTATTTATCCTTCTTGATGGGGAACTAATAAATTGTCTGTCTGAAAGTTTTTGTTAATAGCTTGTTGAATCACTTTAAAAGAATTGTGCATCTTGGAAATTGAAGATTTGTAAAATTACTCTCGAATTGTTGTATAATAGTCTCAAATGAATATTTAGAAATAAAAATTAGTATTTATTACATTATTTAAAATTTAGAAGAAAAAAAAACAATTCGACCGATTTCTTCCAACTTTATTTTTCTTAATTTAAAATAACATGCTTTAAATGTTGTAAGAAATGTATGCTGAATGAATCAAAAACTTTTGATTATTATTAAGTATAACAATAAATTGTTAGTCAACCAATGGAAAACTGTAACCGATGGAAGAAATTTTGGAGACAGTATTGGCCTGCAATTGGCTGTATATATATATATATATATATATATGTTACAAAATCAGATCATTATCAGAATAAACGTCATGCCTTTATTTTAGAACTAATTTTAGGACTCTCTGAATAAGGGACAAAGGGAATGAGCTGCAATTTGAAAAGTATATTCTTATGTTGTTCTAATATTTGAAGCAAAGGAAAAGTCTTAAGTCTTGTCTTAAGTCTTTAAATAAGCAACAAAAAACAAGAAAAAAAAGATTTTTTCTACCATTTAGGGAACGCGTGTTTAATTATTTATAATTTTACATTGTAAGTACTTTACTAACAATTCTCTCTTGTCGAAGTAAACAAGACATTTTCCGGTCGGATTTGAATTTTTGTCCAACAAAATATGGGGATAACCACAATTAGTAAACTATTGATTCGATAGCTTAATTAGAGGAAATAAAAGTGTGAAAAAGACAATATAAAAAACTATGGCTGTTGCGAAATTTTAATATTTAGAAACTATTTAGCCGATTTCGGGAATTTTTTATTTTGCCATTTAAAATTACGTACTTCAAACTGAAGTAAAAACTAGTATGTCTTACAATTCGTAAGACTTGACCTCGTTTAAATGAAATAAATATAAAACAGCAAATAATGACTGAATTTTTCTTTGAGTAATCGAATGTTATTTTATTTTATAACCGATGTTAAACAGTTGACCCAAATCTGAGTTTACGACTATCAATGTTCCACTCCATAGCCTTGTAAGTTTGAACACAGCCCAGAAAACAAGGAAACTCCTGGATATAGCATTAGAACAAACTAGCCGTCGTGGAGAACTTTTTGATGGAACTAACCCGTCTTTGCGTTGCACGGGGAGGAAAACCACAGAAACCTCTCTTGGTCAGCGCCATCTTAAAAGTAGGGAGAAGGGAGTAGGCCCAAATTCTGTAATACTTCTGTAACAGTAATCACATTAGTTTATTCGTTTTAATATTTTCAGAGAGTCACGATGACTCAGGGGATAGAGCGTTCGCCTTCTAATGAGGCGAACCGGGTTCGAATCCTAGTCGATACGAATTCCGCATCCGGCTTGGATCGGCCACAGTGCTAACGTGAAATATCCTCAGTGGTAGACGGGTCATAGGTTAGAGTCCCCTTACCGTCAGGCTAACCGTGGGAGGTACTCGTGGTCTTCCTCTCCTTGCAGCGCAAATGCGGGTTAACTCTATCAAAAAATCCTCCACGAATTCAAATTTCTCCCTATACTAGATCCAGGAGTTCCCTTGTCTTCTGGATTAGGTTCAAAATTACAAGGCTACGAAGTTGAATATTAGTAGTCGTAAACCCACAAAATTATGTCGGCTGTTCAACGACGGTTATAAAATAAAATAAAATAATATATTTTCCGAGATGCGTCAAAATTTACAAAAAAATGAATTTATCTTTAATTGGCTTAATTTTTTTTTACCACTCATCTTTACAAATTATTCGGCAGTATGTTTTGAAGTGTGGTTATTCTTATTCCACTCAAAAAAATTACCAGTGGCCACGCACTAGTGCAAAGTAGTGTATAGTGTACAGGGACAGACGGTTTGTAGTGTTTTCACAAAGTATACGACTGCTCATGCATCACCCACGCATATCTTAAAATAGATTGACTTTAAGATGGACGAGTTTTTCCTAAACCCTAATCCGTTTCAAGGTTTTCTGGAAGCTTACGGACTTATGGAATTGACATATTTATATAACTGACCTAGTTGGATTAGACCACTTGGGGATTAGAAACAAAAAAAACAAAGATCAAAAATACAGTTACAGTTGCGAAAGTTACAGTTAAGAAAGAAATCGCAATTCATTTATGTATATTTAGTTGATTCTTGTCATATTTCTATAAAATGGTATTTTGATATTTTAAGTAATTGATAAGATAAATCATGGAATATGAGGCTGGTGAATTTATCAAACTTTACAACGCATTTTTTAGTTTTCTTAAAGCAGATCAAATGTGATATAAGCTAGCTATTACTATAGTTTTTGAACTAACGTATGTCTGGGAAAAAAAGAATATGAAGTTAAGTTTTTATAATTTAAAAATAATTATATGTAACTAGCGAGTTGTTCTAGCATTCTCTATTAGGAAATAATCTTAATGAACTGAATGAACGATAAAAATAAATATTGAGAGTCGAAAGTAAATTGTTAAAAGAATTTGCGAATCTATAAATTAAGGAATAGATATGTTAGATTGTCAGCAAATATATAAATAAAATGAATAAAAATACTTGTGTGAGTCAGTGATTTAAAGAATCGGTGAAAAAGTGAATGTCCCAATTGGTAAATTTGAGTAGATGGTCATAATTATTTTTATTTTACTATTTTATTTATTTTTCCATTTATTAATTTTTTTCCATTTTAACAAATCTATAAGAATTGATCTCAAGGCAAAAAATATAAAATACAGAAATAAACAAAATAAATGATGATAAAACTAAACTTCAACTTAATAAATAAGATAATGAATCTAAAGTAGAGAAGGAAAACATAATTTTACATATAAAAAAAAATAGGAAAAATAATTTTTTTTAATAATAATGAATTAAATGCATGAATAACACTCAATAACAATTTCACTATGCGCTCGCCAAGATTGATGAATAATCATACATTTTGAAATATCGCAAATACAAGAATTTATCGTTTTCTTAAATATTTCCTTAGCAAACGATTCTGAAGTGAGAACATAAAAGTGTTCAACAAGCGTATAAACCAGGCAAATTAGGTGTAAAACACAAACTAATTTGCTGAACACCCAGGAGGCCCGAGGAACTCCTTTGTTTGAGAATGTTCGGAAAAGAACAAAAGCTTCCTATTGTTTTATAAGAGTAGGTGTTACTTCGCACTCAATGTTCCAAAATGAGTTCTCATACAGGAGGTGAAGAGGAAGATGTTGAAGGGAAAAAATTGTTCCCTCAACCCCAGTTCCTGTAGGGTGTAAACTTCCAATTAATCAGCAACTCTCATTTTGTAGCTGTTTTGTTTGCTTTTGAATTAGGGTTGTTTGAAAGAATAAGAAAAAGAGTAGAAAACGAGACAAAGCAGACTCG